CAGCAGGCCTCAGACTCGAAACCCTGGTGGCTGAGGCCGAGCAACATGAACTTGGCCCGGGTATCGCCCTCGGGCTTGGGCCGGGGAGCCCAGGAGATGAGAGCTGTTCGGGGCTGCCAGGGCACGGTGGTGCTGATGTCAATGATGACGACGATGATTGCGACGACGACGATGATAGCAGCGAAGACGACGAGATCGAAGGGGGAACAGGCGGAGTTTGTGGGTGGTGGCAGGCACTTGTGTTCGCTTCTGTTAAGACACTAATCACGAGGAAGGAGCCTCCTAGGCACGGGTCTTGGTCTTAGGGTCTGTTCAAGTCGATTCTTTTCTGAACGTCCCGTGTGGGAGGGCTCTTGGCGTGCTTCGCCTTAGCCATAGGGGTTTTCATCTTTGATTCGAGGCTGGGGAGTTTGGCCTTTTGACAGGATTCTCTCTCCAGGGTTTCTATCCGGTCTGCTTGAGTGCCAGGGTGGTATCGGTAGACTAGACGCGCCTGTTTGATAAGAGTTCCTGTATTTGATGCCCGAGTCTCGTGAGCGTCGACAAAGTTGGGGGTCAGGAGACATGGGCACCTGGGGTTCCGTGTTAAAGTGAATTGGCGGATTCGGGCTTGAGGAGCACTGATGTAAGGTAGTGAGCATCGCAGTCTGTCGTTCAGTTGCGTGCCCGACTTGAGCCCTTTCTGTGCAGCTGCGCACAGGTGAAGCACCTCTAAAGGAGGTGGGCAGCAAGATCAGGACCGCACTTGGATGCGCCAGAGACAGATGGGGCGCGCAGGATTTTAGACTTAGGCCATTTCAGGGTACGGTTTGACTCCCCTACGTCAGCAAGCGCTGGTGATGACCCTTCGGATGCAGAAGGTTGCTTCGCGCCTGTCCCTAGGACGCTGCAGTACTACGACGCCTGCGCCTGATGCGAGGGTTCGGTTTTGCAGCAGTCACTCAGCCTCGAAGCCCTTAAGCTTTGCACAAGCTTGAAAACATGAGATTTGAGCGTGATTTGAGCTATGATGGCTGGAGCAACGCTTGCAATGGCGCCTTGCTAACCGTGCCGAGTGTTGCTCAGGTTTTGTTCAGGCTTGCCCCTAAACCCTAAACCCTAGAGAGGTGAAAAGTCCTAAACCCTAAACCCGAAACCCTAAACCCTACCAACATTCCGAGTTTGAGAGCTGACGCACTCCGAGTCAAAGCCGCGGCACCCGATTAGTCTCAATCGGTCGATGGACAAAGCCTGCACTATCCGAATAATCGGGGAGATGCTAAAATCTCTCGTAGGTCACTGTTGTCTGGGGTACTGGCTATCGCTGAGGCAAAGTATGTCAAGCAGACCCTGGATGAGGCCGGAGAGGGAGCAAGTAAGCCCTAAACCCCAAACCCTAATAAATATAACAAGGAGCCCCAAAATAGTATTGGTAATTATCTAGGCCCCTATAGTACTCGAATTGTGTGGAATCCCTGCAGTGCGACCCAGTCAGCGAAGCGGGTGGTTGGAAGCCTCAACCACAAGTCCGAGGCGTTGTTTTTTGTGCCGGAAGCCAAAAGCCAATACCAAAACGCTAAACGCTGAACCCGTAAACCAATGAACCCTCAACCCTAAACCCTAAAAGCCCCTAACAACCACGGCTTGTTCAGCTGTTCAATCAAGACTCCCTGCAATGCGGGCTTCGTCCTTGCTAGGTAGGAGGGAAAAAACCCTAAAAGCCCCTGAAAACCCTAAACCCCAAACCCTAAACCCTAAACCCCAAAAGCCTATACCCTTAACCCTAATCCCTTAAACCCTAAAAGCCACTGAAAACCCCCTAAACCCCGCAGACCTGCGGGCGCAGGCAATGCCCGGAGCTACGGAGCGGTGGAACTCCTGGCTCTCTGCCGGTGCGCGAATCCCCGCCCAGGGACTGAAGCTTTGGAAACTTAATAGTTTAAGGTTTAGGGTTCAGGGGTTTAGGGTTTAGGGTTTAGAGGTTTAGGGTTTAGGGGTTTAGGGTTTAGGGGTTTTACGAGGCCTGCTGCAAAAGGGAGTTAAAACCGCCCCAAGCCCAGTGGCAAAAAAGGGAGTTTTAATGCCAATGCCTGGGAGAGAGAGAGAGAGAGAGAGAGAGAGGGTTACGGGAGTTTTCGGGTTTTGATGGTTTTTCTTTCAGTCCTTGTACATGGCTTTGCAGCTTATTGTTCTGTTTTAGGATCTGGGGTGTGATTCGCGCCTCTGTGGCTTTAAGCTGTTGCTTGGTATTGGGGATTCGGAGTTGGGCTTTCTGTTTTTTCAGAGCTTGCGAGCGGAGACTGGGTTCTTGTTAAGGACTTTAATTTATTTTACCATAGCTGTTACCATAAGAGGGGCCTATAGTACATAACATGGTTTCCTCATTATGGTAACTTAATGAAAATCCCTTCACAAGAACTCAGTAGAGGTTGGGTCTCAGATGGTGCTGCAGTGGCCATGCTTGGTTTGCCATGCTGCAGCAAGCTTTTTGGGTTCGGGTTCGAGGGTCGGGTTCGAGTTCTTGTTCTTGCGCTATTTCCCGGTGAAGCCAAGTTGACTTGAAGAGAAATGCTGGCACTTCGTGCCTTATCATAGAGGCCGAAGTGTGGGAGTTTAGGCTAGACTTGAATTCTACGAGTTGGGGTTTTGAAGTAATGCACCTGCACAGAATTGGGTGAACACGAAAGGCCGTGATGCAAGGATCTGGCTAGTACCGAAGCCCAGTTGCAAAAAGGGCTTCGGGCCGACTTTGGCATAGGCTCACAAGTTTGGGCTTCATTTCGGTGTGTGATTTTAATCCTAGTGTTTATAGGTCAGAAATGGTCAACCTCTACGACAGCTTAAGACTTTCCGCCCAGGGCTTTCAGTCATTGGCTTCCTTAACCCCAAAACCCCAAAACCCTACTTGGAGGGTCGGGGGACTTAGTAGGTAGTAAGTAGACTTATAAGTACCCTAAAAGGGACCCTAATTGGGGTTATGGTACTTATAAGTCCCTAAAATAACCAGTTACTAAGTCCCCCGACCCTCCAAGTATTAACTCTGAGCCCGAAACCCTAAACTCTCAGCTTCCCTGCAATGCGGGCTTCGTCCTTGCTAGGTGGGAGGGAAAAAACCCTACACCTCTCAAACCCTAAACCCGAAACCGTATTGATCCGAAGCCCTGAACCTGGTAACCCAGAACTCTAAACCCAAATATACTATACTATAACTTACTATACCATAATATACTCTACTATAATGTGCTATAATATACCTTCATTATACTATACTATAATATACTAAATTAGAAGGTAAGCCTGGTCCAGGCAGGCTCTTTCACCCGTCGCTGCGCGGAGAAAGGGGCCACCACACTTAAAAAGCGCCCACAAAGGGGGAGCTCAAAAAAGCAATGAAACACCTAAGCCCCCGATGTTTGAAGAGTGCTAGGTGCTCCTTGCAACTTGCCAGGCCGGCACGTAGAGAAATTGGAGCACAAGCTGCAGAATCGGCTGGGCGTCGCCACCTCAACCTCTCGAAAAGTTGTTTTTGAAGTGTCTGGGGTTAGGGTTCAAGAGGTTCGGTTGGCTCCCGGTAGCGGCGTTCATATCCTGGTAGAAGACTGGCTTCAAGCAGGCTGGCAGGCTTCCGTTCCTTGCGGGGTTAAGCTTCGCGGTCGAGGGATGTTTCGGCGGAGAGTCCGTAATTGCGCTAAGAGGGCCTAAGGTTTGTAAGGACAAGTATTTGGGAGCTTGCAGTACAGGCATTCCAAGCAAGGCTATCAGGGTCGACCGTCGGGTACCTAGCATTGAATCAGGATGTGGGTCTTTTTCCTCGGATGTGGGTTTTAGGGTTGGGGCGTCTTTCGTAGAAATTATTGGAGCTTGGGTTAGGGTGTCTGTCTTAGGAAGCAGCAAAGGCAGCACCATGTTCCAGCCACGCTATGGTGGGCAAATCAGGCCAATCCGCAACACAACGGATACTTTCTTGACCGACCGGATAAAGGCATGTAAGCCTGTAACGTTTGGGGTCGGCGTAACGAATCGAATTCGTTCGCAGGGTTTGGAGTTGAGCAGGACTCTGACGCCTTCATGGCCCTAGCCACCCCTGACAAGTCTTTAAGCCCGAGCCTTATGAAGCCCAGCAGTGGCCTATGCCGTGACAAGTCCTAGAAACCAGCATCCTGGAGCTTTCAGCTTTCCTTGCACTGATGGGCGACAGCGATCGGCCTTAACCCGAAACCCAAATGCTAGATCGTAAATCGCCCTTCTGTATCCCCCACTTCACGCTATGAAACACGAAACCCTTCCTCCCGGTAGCCACAAAACTGGCGCATCCGTGGCAGTCTCGGCTCAAAGCACCGCCAAAGAGTTGTGGAGTCGGATCTTTAGGATCCCTTTGGCAGCCGTTTCTTCGCGTTTTCCGCCACCTCGCAGGTCAGTTTGCGGTTTGTTTTGGGACGAAGGGGGGCAGGCATCTTGTGCTGCGTCTGGGAACTACATGGGGGCTCTTTGTCTTTTTTGTTTGAAAGCTCGGGGGCTTGCGCTGATGTTGAGGATACTGGTGCTTCGAGTTCCATGTTGGGGGTCCCGTGCTTCCGGGAGCTCCATGCACTAGACGGTCGGCAAAACGAGGCAATTTTGCTCCTTTGGTTGCTTGGCCTATGTCAATACCTGTTGAACAGACAACCTCCAAGACCTTGGTCTCGGGCCTTTGCAATCAGGCGCTGCCTGTCCACAGGCGTAAATGGGTGTGCTCACTAAGTTACGTAAGTCCTAGTCAGCCTATGTCCAAAAACCCGTAGTGCACGAATCCTGGCTAAAATTCCCTTGGCTTCGACACCAGAGCATGCCGGTCCCGGGAAGTCTACAATGATAAGGGTTCTGATTCAGGTCCCAAGAGAATTCTAAGGCTCAGCAGAGCACCTGCATAGGGTGAAAGCTCCTTACAGGGCACCCCCCTTGCCTAAACCCTAAACCCTAAAGCCAAACCCTAAGCGCCCAAACCCCAAACCCAAAAACCTAAACACCATTTTTGATGAAGGATGGCTTCCAAGAGATGCGGTGCAGCCGTGGGTACGGCAGTTGGCCTGGCAGGCACGAAACAAAGCGGGAGGATGTAGGAGAACACATGGGGGGAAGTCTAGATTACTAGGGCAGACGAGCCTTGCATTTTGATGGCGAGTTCTTCATTTAGTTCTCGAGGCATAGATGCTGCAGAACATTGGATGTCTATCTGCACTTTTGACCCAGCCTGTTTTCCTCTAACACTTTGGGAACGGTTTCCTTGGCTGGGATGCCAGAAACCGAGTTCTAAAGGTCTGCTTTTCCTCTGCTGTCTTCCCGTCTGAATGAGTTCTGAAGTGGTGGTTATGACCAGACTATACTACACCACTGAGCCGTGTCTGTTCAAAGGACTTCCGATGTACTTAGCAGACGTGTCGTGTCAAAAGCGCCGGCCCCTCAAACCCTACACCATACCTCTTTCTATGCGAGCCATCTCGAGGTGTGGCTGCCGGGAGTGCCTTCCTTGCTGGCACAGGACGGATGCTTATCGACGTGGTGCCCTAGTCTAAGAACAGTAAGAATATGATATTCAGCACATTCATACTGTTCTTAGCCTAGCCTGGAGGACAGTATGAAAACAGTATGAATGGTGCCCTATTCTAAAAACTGTATGACTGGGATATGCAGCACTAAACTATGGGAAGGCCGCATGGGGACGTCTTTACGACTATGGATAGCTTCACAGGTTTTCGAACCTCCAGGCTTGTAGATGTAACCTTTCCGGACGCTCCCAAACCATTCAACTAAACAGTATTGTTTAAGATTATATCAATCATCTTTTTCAGGAACCTTAGTCCAAGGTGCCCCTACTTCCAAAGAAGCCCACGATAAACAAGACCCAGTATTCCGGTATCCATGTACAACGAATTCTGAAAGTAAGAAGCCTAAGCCCAAGCCTCAAAGCCCCTAGAGCCCTTAGCCGCAAAAGCTTTCTAAGATCCAATCAAAGGCCTTAGGCCTACTAAAACGCCCGCAACCCTTACCCCCTTTAACACCTGGCCCTAAAACCTCTGAACCCTAAACCTTGTTCTAGCTGTCGCATGGAAGCCCCGCATATTGCAGCAGTCACATGTTACCGTAGCAAGCACGAGCTCATGGAGCCGTGTGCGAGTCGAAACCTTGTTCTCAAAAAGAAAGCCTTATTCAAACCCCCTACACCCTAAACCTCCTAAGCCCTAAACCCCGGAACCCTAGACCTCCTAAACCCCTAGCCCCTAAACCGCTAAACCCCCAAACCCTAAACCTCTGAACCCCTAAACCCGTGAGCGCCGAAACCTCTAAACCCCCAAACCCCTAAACCCCTCAATCCTAAACCCCCAAGCCGCGTTGAAGCCCTGACAGCCAGGAGGCCAGGTCAAGACCCCGGCGCTTAGAGCCACGGCCACGGCGCAGCAGGCCCATGAGATCCTAAAGGGCCTCTACTTGGAGGGTCTTTAGGGGACTTAGTGAGTAGGTAGTAAGTAGACTTATAGGTACCCTACAGGCATCCCACTAGCGATTTGAACTGTTTACAATCGTCAACATTCAGGACGTAATAACGACATATACATTGCTACCTTAACTTGCAGCCAGATGGGTGGGCAACTCGTCGGTGCTAACCTACTTCCTTATTCATGCTACAGCTCACTCCGCGTCAATACTACAGCCCTCTTCACACTGAGCAGCTCACACTGGGGTCTTATGTTTCATCTTTGGTTCAAGACCATGTATGTATATACATATATACAGATACAAAGCCCTCAACATAGGTAAACGTAGACATAGGGTACATACATCCATACATCCGTACATACATAAATACATGAATGCATTCATACATACATGGGTAGTTCTCCAAAAAAAAGGACCCTTATTTCAAGTGCATTACATACTATAGTTATAGGGGCCTGAATCGTTAGAATAGGGTTTTGGTGCCTTTTATACCATAGTTATAATAAGGAATCCCCAAACATCTATAGCTAATTAAAACTATAGGTAATTATTTAGTAGGCCCCTATATTATATTATAATGCCCTTATACATCCCTTATGGTAACCCCTTATAGAGCCCTCTAAAGGAATCCCAAGAATCCTATTGGTAATTATTTCGGCGCCTATATTACAGTAAGAGTACTTGGGGGACTTAGTAACTGGTAATTTTAGGGACTTATAAGTACCATAACCCTAATTTTTGACTGCAGCTTTTTGCCGTGCGTTGTGGCCTTTTGTTTGGTATCATGCCGCCGTGGATTTTAGACATCCGTTGTTGGTTGAGGCTCTATCGTTGACGGGTTGGGAGGCATGGTTGAACGTATACGGTGAAGGACTGGGCATTTAGGCTTCCTTTGCCTGATTTCCGAGCTATCGTCTGTTTCTCGGGAAAAGGATTGTTGCAGAGGGTGTCTCAGGTTGCGAGTGTCGCCAATCCTCTTGCAGGAAGGGTCGCAACTTCAGTTGATTTCTTTCGGTTTCCATGGAGGGGGAACACCTTGGTCCTAGGTTCGTAGATGGCTTTCCCTTGCTCTTGGAAGGGTATTTTTGTAATATAGGGTTCCTTGTTATAATTCTGGAACGTATTCCAATTTCATAATTATGGAACTTACTCTCATTATTAAGGCCCCTTTTCTATGCTCGCCCTTGCAGCTCCCAGCTTCTGCAGGCCTCGAGTTCCCCGTCCTCTGCCACGCACTTCGCGGCGGCCTCCATCGTCGCCTCGGCCGGCGCTTTCTATGCCAGCAGCGGGCGCAAGGTGGCCAAGGGGAATTTCTCCGTGACGGCCCTCAAGGCCGGGGTTGCTGCACTCCATCTCTTGATAATACAGGGGGAGAGTTTCAGGTACATGAGCAGACATGCATACCATTCATGTGCATATCACTGGCTTGTTTCGGTGCCTGTCTGCAGCCGTCAGCCTGTCAAATCTATATAAGTAGGAATGGACCTTCGCTGAATAGAACAGGAACATGCGCACACACACACATACCACATACCTGTTGCATTATTTCAGCAGGTGGTCATTACAACATCCGAAGGTCCCGGGGTTTCCCGCGATCTTCACGCTTCCCGGTGCACGAGTTTCAAAAGAACCCAACCATACATGCCCTAAAGCTTCTGCTCTGGAGAAACCCGAAACCCTCGATCTCTAAAACCCCAAACCCGAAGCCATCTACTCTCATGTAGCTGCTGATGGTTGTAACCACGTATATTGTACTTGTGTCAAGCATATGAATGTTATAGCATGATCTTACTAGAATTGTATTCCTGAAAGGCCTTCGAGTCTGAGCTTGGTGTCCAGGCGCCAGCAACTTCGCTGCATCGTTTCCGGACCTAACCGATAACCCTTTCGGGTTCCCCCTGCGGTCCGAGAGCTTTAGCAGCTCTAGTCCCCATAAAAAGCTCGGAGTTTTTTCAGTCCGGGTATTCATGGTTGAGGCTGCCGAGGTATAGGGTCTAGGGGTTTAGGGTTTAGGGCCGCTTTGGGTTCTGGGAAAAACTTGCTGGTTGTTGAAGGCCGCAGCGTGGTCAGAACAAGACGCAGAGGAGAGAAGCACCGACCATGTGCAAGCTAGGCGGCATGTTTAAACCCTTGAACTAAGACCCAAGTCTAACTCAACCCTAAACCCTAAACCCTAAACCTAAACTAAGCCCTGTAGCAACTTGAACCGTTAAACTAAGACCCTAAACCCCTCGACTGAACGCAAATGTTTTTATTCTCTTTGTATGCTAGTCATCATGTCTTACCTACGCTACCTCGTGGCTCAAGTGTGAAAACAGTCCGTGCTTTCCGCTGTTAACAATAGGTTATCAGCCGTAGCTTGTATAGCTCTTCGTAGTGCAATGGACACCACAGCTCCCACAAATCCTGCAGGTGTGCCTATCTCCGAACTAGGTGATGACGATACGGAGTCCGCCCGCTCGAGATCGAATCTGGGCGCAGAGCTTCCGGTTGTCACCGCCCGGGAGGGTCGGGTAGCTCTCACTGAGCAGACGCTACGTTCGCATGTTGGGTCCCTTGGACCTCAACCAGCATACGTGCCATCACGAGCGTCGCTGACACATCAGCCCTCACCCACAGTCGTAGGCTATTCTCCGGTGCCTCCATCGCACACCTCCGTTCCAACTGTTGTGAATCAGTTGTATCAGCATCAGCAAAACGTTCTGATCAGTGCGGATCCTGCATTGATTATGGATACAGCAAATGCAAGACACGCTGAAGCCGTTCGCAACATCCAAAGCGAAAACAGGGAGCAAATTCTCGCTTTGGAAACAGGTGCCATGAGTCAAGTCGCTCAGCTGAAGCTTGAGCATGCACAGTTGCAGTCAAAAGCCAGAGCCTTTGAAGAACAGGCTAATCAAAACATCCATGCTGGTCGGCAGGCCGTAGCCCAGTACCAAATTGAGGCTGAAACAGCCGCTGCTGAAGCTGAGCAGCTAAGGCAGCGCCTCCTATCCGCTGAACAGACAGCTGCGAATGTTGTCGCCCAGGTGGAAACCGAGGCTAATCGTAGGTTGCAGGCTAATCAAGCCGACGTGTCAGCTCGTGACAACGAGCTCTCTCGCCTCAAAGGTGAGATGCAAGAGATGATGAGGATTCAAGCCCTCAACATGGAGATGCTGCAAAAGGACAATGCCGAGCTAAGAACACGCTTGGCGGAAGCCAAAGCTGACCCATTGGGCAATGAACCGGAACAGGCCGGGCCTCCAGGTCTAGGACCCTTTCCGATCCATACTCCTCCTGGCGAACCACTTGAAGCGCCTGAAAAGAGCGGTAAGAAGGAGAAAAAGAGCAAGAAATCCAAAAAGCACAAGAAAGATGAGTCGTCGGATTCATCGTCTTCTTCCATTGACAACAAGATTCTTCTGAAGATGCTCAAGAAGATGGTGAAATCTAAGAAGTCTGATAAAGAGGATGATGATGAAGAAAAGGGTTCCTCGAGTACCAAACCCAAGGTTAAAGAGGCTGAGAAAGTCGTGTTTCCCAAGTTTCCCCAGCCTGAGCAGTATAGAAACTGGCGCATAAGGGTCCGTGAAGCCATTGTCAGAAGGACGCCGACGAGAAAGAGCTTCGCGACCCGGAGGGGTTTAGCACATTGGATGCCAAGATCCTTTCTGGGCTCACCAATATCCTTGAGGGTGATTTCGCTAGGCAGACTGATACCTTCAAGGAGACCGAAGCTCACGCCGGAAGGCTGGTGAGAGGAAGACAGTTGCTGTGTCGTCTTCACAACCACTTTGCTACCAATGCACTCCATGGCTCTGTGTATGACATGGAGGACCTGATGAATTGCATCATGGTCAACGAAAACCTCACCACCTTCATTAGAAACTGGGATACGGTGCTATCAGGGATTCCCAATCCTCCAGACAACAGCGTGCTTGAACCCCTGTTCCATAGACAGGTGAAGAAGTGCAAGGATATCGATCACGACATCCAGGTCTATGAACGCGCACTGGAAGGTAGCGAGCAAAGGTCCTATCAGTTCCTGTATAACGCGGTTGCTAATCATTTGAAACGCAAGCGATTGCAGAAGAACCGCGAGCGCATTGCTCGGCAAACAGGTGTACCTACTGCGCCTGCTGCCGCACCGGCCCCTAAGCGTATTCCCAAAGGGTATTGCGTTGATTGGGTCAAGACCGGAAGTTGCAAGAGAGACAATTGCCCGTACAAGCACCAACAACCTAGGGGGCGTTCTCACACTCCTGCCGGAGGTCGTACGCCTACTAGAACCCCTAGCCCGGGAGGGAAAGGTAAAGGCAAAAAGCAGGAATGCAAGTTCTTTAAGCAAGGAGTTTGCAATCGTGGAGACAAGTGTAACTTCCTCCACAACGGCCAACCTGCTGCAGCCGCCCCGGGCAGCTCAGGTGCACGAGCGAGCAGCGGCGAGAAGAAGGAAAAGAAGCACAAGAAGAAAGAGAAGAAAAGTGGTAAGGGCCGCAAAGGCTCCAGATCTAGCTCCAAGAGCTCTTCAAAGAGCGGCAGCCGAAAATCAAGTAAGTCTAGCCAAGGCTCGAAGGTTCGCGTGGCTCAGGTCGCAAGGGTGGTGCGCCCTCCGTTCCCGCTGCAGTTTGCTTATTGGGAGCAATGTTGGCTGGCTCAGCAGCCCAAGCCGATGCATTCACGTTCCGGAAGGATATGTTGAGCAATGTCGATGTTTGCACCCCGCACTATCATGTCGCACTGGCCGCAGTGTCATTCAATGACACTACTGAAAGTTTCACGTACCAAATTCCGAAAGGGAATGGCCTCTACCCCCTCGATGATCGCAATAAGCCAAGGGAGTATAGCCAAGTATATCCCGCCAACAGCCATTGGAAAGCCGATCCTGATTCCGTGAAGGAAGCTCAGGTAACCGCTAAGATGTTGCAAGCTGTTGTCAGTGATGAGGTCAAGGGCTGTAGACCGCAGTGTAAGTTCAAGTGCAACACTGAGTTTGGATGCAAGCATTGCATTCCGATTGGTTTGAAGTTCAACTGTGCCGCACCCGCCAGCAGCAAATCACCGTGTCTGTGCATTGAATGGATTGCTGACACTGGCAGTGCGCAAGATCTCATCGCCCAGCGGGAGCTTGGGCAGGCGAAGGCCTACGAGTCACCTGCGCCCATTCAAATGATGACTGCAAATGGGCCAAACTCCGCTTCAGAACAGTGTGATGTTTCTGTTGACTCCATTGGGATTGAGGTCAAACCATATGTTCTTCCTGATACCCCATCTGTCCTTTCAATAGGACAGCGATGCATGGAAGAGGGATTCGATTTCATCTGGAGGGCTAATTCACGACCGTACCTTAAGACTCCCGAAGGGAAGAAGGTCTATATGGACGTTAAAGATAACGTGCCGTACTTGAAGTCCTGGCATGAAAACATCAGCGTCCCTGCGCGTCGGGCCTCGTCCGGTCCTGGTAAGACGCAGATCATTGAAAGCCCCTCCGCGGCCGGAAGGCCAGCGCCGGAAGAATCATCCGAGGCTATCGCAAAGAAGCTTCGAGAGTCTGGCGACTTCTCACATGCATCATGTTACTCCTTGTTAAACAAGGTAGCTTTCAAGGCCTCTAAGAAGCAGAGGTCTATCATCGCCAAGGACCCAAAGTCCTCTAAGAAGTCCGAGTATGTTGTGCTCGGAGCCTTCTCGCACGGCGGGATGCAAGGCATCACTAACCGCAGTCACCAAAATAAGGAGCTAATGAAGTTCCTCAATGAGTATCTGAAACATCATGGTGCCAAGGGGCCCAGCTCTTCATTGTGCATTAATCACGGGTCCAGCGTCAAGGTGCACAAAGATGCTCACAATCATCGTGAACATAAGAACAACACTATGTGTTTGGGTGACTTCGAGGGAGGCGAACTTTGGATTCATGATGAAGAAATCAGCAGGGAGAACAAAGATTATGCTTCTGTTCGCACGCCTGACGGCAATAAGCTGAAAGGCAAAGTTCACAAGTCCAAGCATCGTATGATTACGTTTGATCCCAAGACGTACCACTGCGTCCGTCCCTGGAAGGGTGACAGATGGAGCATCACATCATACGTGAATCGTGCTGTGCACAAGCTTGATGCTACACAGCTCGCGAGACTTAAAGAGTATGGTTTCAACGTGCCATCTAAGGTCTCAGCTCCGTCTTTGATCGAACCCGGTGATGAGGAAACGTCCTTGTATGACCTTGTTGCCGGAACACCTCCAGTTGAGAAAGGGGTTGAACTACGTGCAAAGCCCAAGGTCAAGACTAAGGGTAAGCCTGAAAAAGAAAAGAAAGTTGAACCACCCAAAGAACCTGATCCTCCGCCTACATCGAAAGGAAGTGGTCATGATGACGAAGACGATATGGATTACCTCAATCGCATCCTCGAGGAGGAAGGTTCTGATCTGGAAGACATGCCTAAGGATGATCCGGGTGCAGCTCGCGCCTCTGACGGAGCCGCTGTCGCCCCAGATGGGGATTCCGAGGGCGATGGGAAGAAGAGAAAACGGGGTATAGAAGTCCTGAAAGCTGAAGCTAAGTCGCTGCATCATATGATGTCGCATCAGCCGAAGAATCCGTTCTGTGATATTTGTCAAAGGGCTAAGATGTACAAACCTCCTTCATATGCGACGGGAGGGGTGCGTACTATTGAAGCCAAAGACTTTGGTGACCACGTTACAGCAGACCACATCGTGCTCTATCGGGACAAGGACACCATCATAGAGGACTCCCGGCTGGCGCTGGTGATTAAGGACGTCGCAACAGGCTTTTGCTATGCCTACCCCTCAGCTCTAAAGTCAGCTGAAGAATGCACTGTTGCACTTCAGCACTTCACATCTCCAAAAGATGAAGTGAAGAATTTCTACAGTGATCGCGCTCCTGAACTCAAGACTGCTGCGAAAACCATGAAGTGGCGTCATGAGAAGTCTAAGGCCTACTTGCATCAGTCAAATGCGATAGCCGAAAGGCAAGTCCGGTCTGTGACCGAAGGCACTCGAACCAACCTTCTGCAGGCTGGCGTCTCGCATGTATATTGGCCATATGCGTTGGAGCATTCGTGCACCGCATTCAATATCAGTCATGTGCATGATGTGAAGTACACACCCTGGTTCAAAAGATTCGGGGACAAGTTCCCTGGAGAGCTCATTCCGTTTGGGTGTAGAATCGATTACTGGGTTGGTCCCAAATCTACTCGCAAGAACCGAGAACGTTTCGCTCCTACCTCCGAACCTGGTGTTTTCCTTGGCTATAGGTTTCAACCTGGGATGAAGTGGCGCAAAGAGATCGTGGTGTTACCTTTGAAGGAACTCAACCGTAACGATTTTCATGAGTGCCTGAATCCCATCAGTGCCTACCAGTTCAAGGTTCCGGGGGGAGACTTCACGTTTCCTATGAAGGAGAGGTACGAGCGCATTCAGGCTGGATTCTCGTCCGAGGCCGTTGAAGGCCCTGTGTCCCAATCTCTCGAAAACCAGGATGCCGAAGCACAGGATGAGCAAGTCGGCGATGATGCCGCTCCTCCTATCGCTGACCTGGCGGTCAAGCCCCCTGAAGTCATTGATCCCAAGACCGGCAAGATTGTTCCTTTACCGGAAGGTGGAAGGTTCTATGATTCAAGTGGCGTGATTGGCCGAAGATACGGGGGGACAAGGGGATCCAAGAAACCTGATTCCATACCTAGTTCTATCTGGGTTAACTTGTCCAAGAAACAGAAAGAGAAAGCCATTGATGATGAAGCACGAAAGATTGCTCTTGCAGAGCTTGACGAAGAAGTTGGTGGCTCAGCAAGCAGTAGTGCTAAGCCTTCTGCCGCCGCATTGCCTGATAAAGACTGTTGGAAGATAGAGGGGAACAAACTCACTAGGTTCCATTTTGTTCCTAGAAGAGAGCTCTTCTCACCCGACCTCACCGATTGCCCTGTTGACCTTAAGCAAATTAGCAAGGTCCGCAATTCGGCTATCTTCCCAGTCGGTGGAGTTGATATTATCAACGATCAGGACGATTGGCGCAACGTTCGGAGGCGTAATAAGAAGACGTCATTCAAGTGGATCGGTAAAACCGAGTTTACTATCACCCCACAAGTTCCTGCCTCTGGCGAGGTCAGCGGGTCACGCCCCGAGTTTCCCGCGATGCCAGTATCGCTCGACGGAAGTCCTGAGCACAGAGAAAAGAGTTTGCCTAACTGCCCCACGTCGCTCGAAGAGATCAATGAGCTCATGGCTATGGTTGCCAGACCGGTGGGCAGAAAGGAGATCCTTAGCAATCCCAAGGCCCAAGCTGCGTTAGATGTTGAGTGGAACAAGCTCATGCAGAAGAAGGCTTGGGACATGGCTTCTGTTCGGGAATGGGAAGAGGTTTCTAGAGAAGCTAAGAAAAAGGGTAAGAAGGCCCATGTGGGGAAGGTGTTCGAAATATGCGTGGAAAAGGGAAGTGAATTGCCTGCTAATGATCCTTTAAGGAAGTTCAAGGGAAGGACGGTTTTTCAGGGTAATAATGTGCGCGACGAAAACTCCGATTCCGCACTGTTCTCTGAGTTGGGGTCCAGCCCCGCAACCATGGAAGCAGGAAAGGCCCTTGATGCCTATGGTCACGCTCCTGGAAATGAGTGTCAACAGGCCGATGGGAAACAGGCCTACACCCAAACCACTTTGAAGGGTGCTGACACTTGGGTTCGTCTCCCTAGAGATAGATGGCCTAAGGAGTGGATTGGTAAATACAAGGATCCTGTTGTCCGCCTTCACCTTGCACTGTATGGCCACCCTGACAGTGGAGGCTTCTGGGAACAGCATTGCGAGCGCATGCTGAAGCAGGTAGGGTTCCAGCTTGTGTTTTCAGCAGCATGGCCCTCAGTGTTCTTTCATCCTAAGTTGAAGCTGCTTCTCGCCGTTTATGTTGATGATTTCAAGATGGCGGGCCCTAAAGAGAACATGGCCCGTGGATGGGAACTTATCGGGTCTAAGATCGATATGGATACGCCTACCCCGGTCGGAAGATATCTGGGTTGTGATCACATCACCAACACTTCCACCCTCTGGAAGGCCGACCATCCTTTCGCTCACGTCTTTGACAAGACCGTTCCCGATCCGGCGGCGAAGCCTGCTAGTGTTGCAGCTAAAGAAGACTACACTGAATCGTTCCCCGAAGAAGGTGTAATGGTTCGACATCATTGTCAGCCTCGCAAAGCTCTTTATCAACCCCGCGAAGCGGAAGCTTCAGCTTATGGGCTGGGGCATCACAGGTGTACCCATCTCACTGATGTTGGGAAACCCGACGTCGTTCACGAATTGTGGGATGATAATGGTAACCGCGCAAAGCGGGGGGAGCTGTGGACAGGTACCACTTATATTTGTTCTGGTTCCCATGATCGCGCCAGTGCTATGGCCGCTGTGCAACGCGTCAGGGATAAGAATGAAGCCAAGAAGGAAGCTAAGAAACAAGCGTTCTATGATATCAACCAATTGGGTGACAATCAAGGTTGCATGTACAAGAAAGTTCGTGAGGTCATCTATGACATGTCGTCCTTTCTGCAACAAGCCATAGACAAGTACAAGCAACTTGCTGGTCCTGAGTACCACAATCTCAAGAAGGTCAGCACACCCTTTTATGATGATAAAATCGCTCGCCCAGTGGAAACTGAGGCCGAAGCAAAAGGCAGGCTGGCTCCCATCGCCAGTCGAGTCCTCATGAAGTTGCTCTTTGCAGCAAGAATGGCCAGATACGATCTGCTTCGGGCCGTTCAGGGGTTGGCTAGTAGGGTCACCAAGTGGTCTTCCGACTGTGATAAGGCTTTGCATAGGCTTATGTGCTACGTGAACAGCACCAAGCACTATACCATGAAGTGTTTTATAGGAGATAAGCCTTCTGAATGCAAGCTTTGGTTGTTCGCTGACAGCGACCATGCTGGTGAGCACGACAACAAATCTACGTCCGGAGGAATCCTGGTACTTGTTGGTCCCAACACCTACTACCCTCTCGCCGCTTTTAGCAAGAAACAAACGAGCACTGCACTCAGTTCCACTGAAGCAGAGGTTGTGTGTGCTAATGTTGCATTGAGAGCCTTAGGCCTTCCTTCATCCGCACTTTGGAGTGTGCTCCTGAACGCGGGGGGGGATACTGCAACGAAATCGCCCACTCCTCTGACGAGAGAGTCCAAACCATTTGTTCCTAAAACTACTCCCTTGCCCGAGTTTGGAAAGATCACTTTCACCGGCCTTCAAGAGCTTGACGATGGTCGTGTGCTGGATGTGTACAATAAGATTAAGGTGATTCCACCACCCGATAATCTCACTTCGCACCCCATTCGTAATGTTTGGCTCCTTGAGAAAGGTAAGTGGTTTGCATACCAATCAGATGTGGCTTGGGAAGAAAGGGACATGCTTGATGAGATCCTTGATAAGGAATATGAAGCCGGCATCTGCGTGTATCGTAGATCAGTCAGGGACTATCGCCGCCATGCGGAAGCAGAGGCATACCTGCATCGTGAGATCGATGGCATCAGGAACACGGGGGGTGACTGTGACAACGCACCTACCAGGAATGATACCGATATAGGGTTGATCGTGTCGGTCCCTCACTCTGTTCAGCCTGTTGTTCTTGAAGATAACCAGGCCACGATTCGCATTCTTGAATCAGGTAAGTCTCCCGCATTCCGGCATGCTGATAAGACCCAACGCCTCAATCTAGGCTGGATCTCAGAGCAGTTCAAACGAAAGCATTACGAACTTGCTTATATCAACACCTTGCTCCAAGCTGCGGATGTCCTTACAAAACCATTCACTAGTGCTGAGAAGTGGAATAGAGCACTACAGTTGATGTGTGTGGCACCGCACAAGCTGCCTGCAAGGAAATCGGCAGCGGCCACCAGCGATCCGATCGCCCGGCAGACGCCGAGGCCCGAAGCCGCGTACAAAAGGATTGTGTTCGTTGTGGATTGTTCGCAGGGAACTCATTCTGCTTGTGACGTTGATATAAGGTATAGCCCCGAAACAAAGGTGATTAAGATTAGAAATTCTAGTGAGCTTGATCCTCCTGAGACTAGGAAGGCAATCATCCAGTTAGCCAGGGATTACCACAAGGCTGGCGCCTCTGTACTTCTTTGGTTCCATCAACGGAATCCGGGGGGTACAAACAAGGATCAGGACGAGCTCAATAGCATCATGTTCTCCAAGACTTGGGCTTCGTTTGTTGACATCGCCGATGCTCTTAAGAAGTACAAAGCGAGGTTCATCATTACGTGGCCCAGGGACAGCGTGTTCTGGGGATGGCAGCGTGTCAAGAGGGTACTTGATGGCTATGGTTTTAGCAAAACTCACCTCAAGCCGATGGTTGAAGCTGCTGACTTTAAGCCTGAAGTCATTGCCCACTACACGCTAGCCTCCAACACGAAGAGTCTTGTTGAATTCTTGAGACGAGGATTGAAGGATAGTGCCAAGAAATCAGAGTCCCAACACTACTTCAAAGGCACCCTTACTACGATTCTCAGTCGTGTTTTTGATGATCATGAACCTAAGAAATCAGAGAGAAATCAGACTCACGTTGTAGCTGTTGCGCTCAAGATTCAAGCATCCCCAACGTCCTCTCTTTCGCTCCTTCCCATTGCGAACATGTCCTCTGCCCAGAGCACTCGTGACGCTCTTGCACAGGGAATCGCAGCCCGGGAGGGTATGCCGACTGCTGAGGGGTTGCAGTATGCAACGGCAGATCGTGAGGAACGCATTCAGGCGTATCGTGCCGCACTCAAGAGTGCCGATCGCCTGGCTGACGCCATGGCCGGAGTCACCCACCTTGCTCGGCACACCGACCTTGCTGAGGTGTTTGATGAACCCGGGGCTGACGCCGACGGTGATGAGATGTTCCTTGGGATTATGACGGTAAAGGAATGGCGCGACATGCGTGTGCATGCGCCTAATGCACCCTGGACCGCATTGTACGAGGCCTGGTTCCGTCACTATGCTTGCCGCCAGGGCAATCTGTACATGCAGGACCAACGCAACACCTCCCTGACGGGATGGTCAGCCCTCATCCTTCAGCACATTAAGGATTTGGGTATCCTCGGGTGGGGTGTTAACTTCGAGAATGCCATCAATAAGACGGCAATGTATGACATTTGCCATAGGGTCCACATTCTGTCAGAGGGTAGCGGTACCTTCCCACTGTTTCCTGCGAGCTCAGCTCTCTTGGACGGGCTCTACAGCCCAGCCTTGGGCAGGATTTCCGCGCCCCCCACGGCGGAAGCCGGTGGTTTCGACGGCACCGACATTCTTGTGGCCGGGGACTCATCCTTGGCATTGTGCTGGATGCAAGGAAAACGGTGTGTGAAGAAAACCACTATCTTCCCGATGATGCAGGACATAGTCCGCGCGAACCCAGAGTTCGGGGAAGTCACATGCCTGATGGAGTGGGGCAAAGGTCTCGACAAGATCGTCGACGTGATCGAGACCCACCTTGCCTCCGCTCCCCCGGAAGGGGTAGAGCTTGTGGTTTCATGGGCCGGCAACGATGTGTACGGTAACTACGGTTACCTTGGCTACACTTGGCACTTGACGAGCCAGTGGGTCAAAAGGCCACAGCGCGAGCTGGACGAGATCGAGCATTGGCCCGCAAAGCAGCGGCTGATGGTCGAGAAGAGCGTCCGCCGCCTTATCGAGCTGCGGAAGCACACTCGTGTCAGAGGCCTGACGGTTCTCTTGGGAGATGACAACGGCCGCTTTTACAACCTGCCCAACGAGTATGATGAAGAAATGGGCAAGTACGCCCGGCAGATGCAGAGTGAAGGCGTGTGCGTCGTTGATCCATCAAGCCTCCTGATGAGGACCACGCGTCCCGACGGGTTCCACATCGAGGTCACAGACCCGAATGTGACTGCTTCATTGCAGTGGTGGCATGCGCTCATCAGAGCCATCTCCACCGACCGAATCATCACTCGCCGGAAGGCTGAGTTCGTTGCCAATCAGAGAAGTATTGTGTTTCGCAATCACTTCGAGCTTGGGAAGGCCGAGAAGACGCTCACGGTGCCGCCTGCAAGTCAGCGCATCCTCGAGCCGTTGGACCGTGCACCTGAGCTCCCGGCGGAAGCCAGGGAAGAGGATGAGCAGATCGTTCTCGACCACCCTCTTCTGATGATGATGCCTGAGCCGGTGGATGATCTTGAGCTCAAGCCGGAAGGCTCTGAAGAGGTGACACAGGTTGAACATGTACTGTTTAGCCGTGATGTTGGGTCAGAGCTGCCTCTCGACCTTGTCGCCGTCGACCCTGAGGCGCAAGAGGACTTTGCCTTTATGGTTGCACGAGATGTCATCAATACCACCAATGTGCTTATCCCAGATGACGATGCCATCGAGAGGGAAGTCAATGACGGCATCCCCACGGTGTGGGACGAACCCCCAGAGGTTCCGGCATCGGAAGATGACCGCAGTCTTCCCAAAGGCACAGTCGGGTACTCGCAGGCACTTCGCCGAATCGGGTCGACGCCCAAGTCGAAGCCCGATCCTGCCAAGCACAGGAGAATCTCGGAGCCAGCCGAGACTGACGATGAAGAGGATGTCGTGATGGACCTGGATCCTGACGACACCGCTCAGCCGTCGGAAGACGCTGCTGGTGATTTCGAGCCATTCTTCGAATGGTGGGGCTATGAGGACATCCCCGATTTTGCCCCAAGCCATCGCTACATGACGGATGGCAAGCGGCGAGCATTGAGCAGTGCCATGAGCTTTTTCCTTCGTGGCTTCGCGAATAGTGCAGAGTCACAGGCACAACGGCGGCCACCGCCCATGATGACCTTCGACCCCGCCACGCGGGAGGTCGAATGGGATCACTTCAAAGAGCAATTGGGCAAACAGTGGCGCGGTCTCCGGTCGGAAGACGTCATGGAAGTCGTGAAGTATGGTAACCGCGACAAAGATGACAGTGGACGCTTTGAGTTGCGCGTCCTCCACTTCGTCGACCACACTGAGATCCATGGAATCCGTGCATTCCAGGGGCACTGCCGCGATCTCATCTCTGACGAGACTGATCTTGTGGATATGCACAGTGACAGCTATGCTTTGTGTGACGGCTACCGGCCCACCATGCACACGCGTCCTCCTGTAGGAGTCACTGGCCACATCCACAACGACTGGGTCAGAATGCATCCGATCGGGTACCATGCAACGTATTGGAGCAATTTTTCCAATATTGTTAGCACCGGTCTCATCCCAGGCGGTGTCACCCTCGGCGGAAGCACGGGGAGAGCCTTCACCATGATGGCTTGCCTCCCTCAGTGGGAAAGGCCGAACAACGCCGGCCTGCGACCTGGCGCTGAGGTTGAATTCGCTATCGACCTCCAACTCGCGTGCCTGGAAGGGTGTCGCATTCTCCTGACAAAGAACAATGTTCTGCAGACCCCAGATTGGTTGTCCAATCGCTACCTTATGTTTGCTTACGATCGCAGAACCGGGAAACCTGTATGGTTTAACCGCTCGTACGAGCTCACGCGAGCTCGGGTGTCCAAAGCCCGCGATGCATATGTCAAGCGTCAGGAGATCCTGCCGGTCTTCAACCAAGACCTCATCGAACGCGCAGCGGAAGCTGACGCTAATTGCATCATGGATTACGTTGATCTCTGTTACCCGATCCACAATGAAAATTTGGACTGGGTTGAGTTCTTGGGTATGTTCATGGACATGGAGAAGCCCTCGCACTTGCGTGAGGTTGAGCAGTTTCATGTCGATGGTCGTACCATCTGCTTTGAGCAGGGTAGTCCGCTGGAGGGAACTCCGTGCGAATGGACCTTGGATGCCCAGGTCTACTTTTCGCCAATCGGGCTGACCACCGAGCGCCCGTCGCGTGTGGAGCGCAAGCACTACTCAGTGTGCCTCAACGTCAGCTTCCCAAAGCTGCGTTGCCCTGATGATAGGTGCAGGTCTCAGATGCTTGACGGCTATCTTCATTGCCCCCGCTGCCAGCGGAAGTTGTTCAACCCGAGCGACATCTCCCACATTGCGGAGCTGGCTGATCTGCGGGCGGAAGCCGTGCAAGGTGGAGCTAATCACAGCCTCCACTATTTGGCACCGAAGGCCGCCATCAACACGCGCCCACACGAGCACACACGTCAGGGTGCCGATGTGAAGAAGAGCATCGCCGCGACACTTAAGGAAAAGTGCAAGAAAATGGTGGCGAAAGCGGCAGAGGGAGCGCATGGCTCCTTGCGCCAGAACTTGAAGTACGAACCCTTCAGCGCATTCAATGTGTTTTCCAAGGGGATGACGGTGACTTCACTCGACGAGATCGAGATGTTCTCGCGCTTGCGACTTCCCGCCCCAGGAATGGGGACGGAGGCAAAGAGAGGCTTTGCAGGATCTCACACATCCGATGCACGCACTGCCCTCATTTTCCCTCCTGTCGATGATGTGATTCGCGGGGAGTACAACTATCAGAGGAACATTTTTCTTGAGCTGGCCAGCCACTGCTACTTTTGTTTCCAGGATCGTTTTTACCTGGTCCCCGAGATTGCAGTGTTGATCCGAGCCACTCAGATTGCCTCTGAGGTACGCCGTGTGCGTCCTTTCACCATCCTCCGCCATGACGGCGTCGAGTACCAGACCGTGACCGGTACTGTTCCTGAGATCATGGCCGACCTAGTCGGTATGCTCCGCAACAACGCACAGTATGCTCTCACCCAGAAAGAGCGCAATCAGCAAAGGGTGACTGTGCAGGTTGGAATCGGACAGACTCCGTTGCAAATCCCAGCATCCCTGGGGACAATGGGCAGGTCACAGATGCTCGAGCTTCTTGGAGGTACGCGGTTCAGTGTTGAGCGTACCCGCGGCTGGATCAATCGCGAGGTGGAAGACCGAATGGTCCGACATGGTGCCACTCCCATTGGCGCCATGCGTGTGCCGCCTCCACCGCCGTCACCATCCGGAAGGACTGGTCCTGACTCGTCGCTGCCCGCAGCAACACCCAGTGTTCGGCCCCCACCGGCTCCTCCGAGCCGAGGTCGCTCACCTGGCGGTGCAGCTTCGTCATCTACGGATCGTCCAGCAAGCACTTCTGTTCCAAAAGCTGCAAAGACGAAGGCAAGGCCGGCATCTGCCCGAAGCATTACGCCGCCTCCTCCTAAGCCCAGTGCTAACAGGCCAGTGCAGCCGCCGCACCCACCAGCTGCAAAAGCTGTTCCGAAGGCTGACGCCGTTCGTGCGCCTGAGGAATACATCACTGCTGATGAGTGGGACAGCTATTTTGCCGGTCGTGGCGAGGTTAGAGGTTTTGCTGTAGGTGATGCACCTGCACCAATTGCCGCCCCTGCGGGGTCATCCACTGATGAACCATCTGCCTCAGCCGCCGGAGGGCGTGCTCGCACTCGCTCACCGCGCCGCCATGACTATGGTGGTGGCCGAGACTTTCAAGAGGCTGCGAACGACAGGTTGCGTCACCTGCGCCTATGTGATGAGGCGATTGAGCAGCAACTCGAGAACCTGACGGTCACTCTCCCAGGCTTCCCAGCTGATCGCCTAAGGGAATGGATTGATCAAGACGGGAACGGATTCGATCCATCCCGACCAATGCCTCGCAATTGCACTCGCACAGATGCATGGTATTGGGGAGTCCTCCGTGCCCGTTACCTTGAGGAGCTATCGCCCACTGATGTGCCTTTTGTCATTCCCGCTTACACCGACCGGGAGGTTCTGGTTCAACATCCTGTTGAGCAAATTGCCTGGTTCCTGCGCGGATGGGAGGAGTATCGCCAGGACTCCAATGGAGCATGGTACAGGGCATACTAGCCTATTGCATCCGACACCGGAAGGTGCTCCGCGTCTTGAGGGCACCGTGTCAGGAGATGCACGAGTCGCACGCAACAGCGACTTGCATTTTGATCCGTTTTTCTGCAACTCACCGCATTGACGTGCTGGTTCATCATCACCAGCCTCTGCATCGGCACGCCCATGCATCACCGCCCTGACGGGTTGGTTTGCTGACCCGCTTAGTGGAGTGATTTGAGTTTGCATTTCAAGATCTTTTGCTAGCCTCGCAAAGCGAGTGCTGCCTCAGAGTAGCGTAGAGTAGTAATACGCCTCCTCCGCTGCGCTTCAATGCGCGGGGGGTGTTTTTATTCTCTTTGTATGCTAGTCATCATGTCTTACCTACGCTACCTCGTGGCTCAAGCGTGAAAACAGTCCGTGCTTTCCGCTGTTAACAATAGCAATGGCAGCTGAAACCCTTAAGCTAAGACCCCAAAGCCCTAAACCCCTAAAACTGAGCCCCACAAGCAGCTGAAACCCTTACCTAAACCCTAAACCCTAAACCCCAAAGCCTAAACCCTAAACCCCAAAACCCTAAACCCCAAAACCCTAAACCCTAAACCCCAAACCCTAAACCCTAAACCTTAAACCCTAAACCCCTAAACCCGAAACCTTAAACCCTCACGTGACGCCTAAGGTCGGCTTCTGGGACCCCCTCGGCCTGTCGAGCGATGGCGATGCCGAGGATGGCTCGGGTTTACGGCTTACGGTTGAGTTCACGGCCTGCTGAAAAGCACGTGATCCAAGAGCTACTACCAAGTTTAAAGTTTTGGGGGTTCCTTATAAGTATACTTGGAGGGTCGGGGGACTTAGTAAGTAGGTAGTAAGTAGACTTATAAGTACCCTAAAGGGGACCCTAATTGGGGTTATGGTACTTATAAGTCCCTAAGATAACCAGTTACTAAGTCCCCCGACCCTCCAAGTAGGGTTTAGGGCTTCAGGGATGTTTAGGGATGTTTGGGGGTGTGTGGGGGGATGATTTTTTTGTTGTTTTTTGAGGATGATGTTTTGTGGCGGTGGCATGTTTCATAGTTTTGGGAGCTTGAGGGGAGGGGTTTCAGGCTTGCAGCTTCTAGGGTTTTTAGGGTCAGGCTTTGGGCGTTGGGGATGTGGGAGTTCAAGGTCAAGACGTTGCGATGCGGACTCTCGAGCATAAGCGAGGCTTTGGGTTCTGAGTCTGCACTGAGTCGAAGACTTGGAGACTCAGACCTGGATTAAGCCCGATCGTGAAAGGTCTACACCCTAAATCCCAAACCGGAAGCTTTGAGTTATTTTGAGTTTATCTCTGCAGCTTGAAGCGCAGGGCTTAGGGTGCTAAGGCTAAGGTGTAGGTCCATACCATAAACTCCCAGACGAAAACCTGAAGCTCCGGAGCGGAAAGCTTCAAGAACTTACCCTACACTGGATCAGATCCTTCCCCTAAACCCTAAACCCTAAACCCTAAAACCTCCCCAGTTGGCCCGCTAGACGAGTGATTGCCTTTGTGCGCCAACAGCAGCCTGCAGGTGTTCGCCAGGCGGCGCGAAGTGGAGCTGAAGCACGGAAGGATCGCCGTGGATGGTGAAGTTTTGTACATGGCTATAGTATTTGACCTTAGGCAGCGCAGCTTGGGACCGTCGCATACCCTGTGCTGTTGTTTCGGCCTCGGGCATTCAGGCGCAGATCCTATTGGATTCATCCAGGCCTCTAGCTATATACTATAGTTACCAGGAATGTGGGCGTTCAACCCGTATGGAAACCAAATTCCTAAAACCTTCAAATCGGTCCCAAACTCCCCAGCCCTTTAAAAGAAACCCTGACTTACAAAACCTGGACACTCAACCGCAAAACCCTTGGCGAAGGATCTCCATGTTTGCCACAATTGGCTACATTGTCCCGGAGTACTTCCGCTGGCCCGGTGAGCTCTCCCCGAAGCTGGCATGATGTCGGAAATGTTCTTTCTTCCTCTTTGAGTAATTTATTTTGTTGTGGTTATTCCCGCTATTGCTACTGATGGGTCTTATTTATCATGGTCGCCGTTACCATTGATTGCCATTGACATCACGAATGTCATGTCCATGACAGGCATGCTATCGTTATGAATCGAACACTCTCCCGTATACTCGTTCCATGAGCTTCGCCGAGACTCATCGTTTGCCTGGCATTGATCCCGGTTGAGTTGATCTGCTCCGGTTGTGCATCTGCCCTTTGGTGGGTTGCCTCGTGCCCCGTGTTGGATGTTGCTTCACATCCCCTCTTTTTGCCTTCGTCTGACTAAGATTTTTTTGTTTTGGGTATCTTCGGGCATGCAGGGCCTTGAACATGATTGGGCGGCACGCTACAACCCCGTCTTCCTGCCGTACTTGCACTCTTCTGGGTATGCGTGCGGCGATTCTACAGGTGATGGTGCTTAATGACAGGAATGCTTCGGGGGTTGGCTATTGGCCTTCATTGCTGTGTGGGGTAGTTGGGAGTTTGGAGTGGCGAAACAGGTGGGGGTTTCCGGAAATAGGGGACCCTGATATAGTACCCTAAATAGTAGGATCCTTATTATAAGGACCCCAAATAAGGTACCCCGATTTTTCGGAAACTCCCATGTCTCGCAACGATCAAGCAAGCCTTGCCACGATCTTTGGTTTCCTTCTTGCTTTCTTGTGGCAGCGTGTGCGCTTGCTGCAATCGCGTTTCACACGATCCCATCTGGAGCTCCTTTCCTACTCCCTCTACACTCGGATGTCTGCCGCGATCGGGGCGTTTGACACCAAAAAGACAGAGGGAAGCCTTAACCTGAAAGGCAGAGCCTCAACCCGCCTCTGCCCAGCATCCTGAATGATTGTAAAACCCTGATCCCCAGGTTTAACCCCGAAGTTGCAAACCCAATACTTCTAGTGTAACCGAAAAGCCGCCCTGAAGCACAGCAAGGGAAGTTGGGCTTCATCAAAAAGGGGGTTTACCTGGGACGTGCGTATCTTCATTTTTGCTTATGTGCTTTTGTGGGCCCTAGGAAGTTGGGCTTGAAGTTCACCGACATCCCCAACGGCCTGGCGGCCCTCACCAAGGCCGGAGCTCTCGAAGGGTGGGGTCTTCTGGAATCTGAGAAGGCGCTTGAAAAATCAAGTTACAATGTATTATTACTAGTATTATTACTGCTACTATTATTGTTAAGTCGGTGACAAAATTATTATGATTATTATTCGTGTTATTATTGTTACACTAGTGTTATCACACGTATATAGACATATAGATATATACATCAAGGCTTTACTAGGTTGTATTTGGGTTCTGAGAGGGGTCGTCGAGGGCTCGTTGCCCATCAACGCTCCAAGGGCTTCGGAGCTGCGCTGCTGAGCTTTGTCAGGGTGATGGCTTTGGTTTGTGGTTACACTCCTCGAGTTCAAACCTCGAGGGCTTTTAGGCGGTGCCCTATCTCCTCGGTTTTCTTGGAACCGTCCGTGTCGAATGCAGCAGGTGCCCGGTCAGGGCTGGGGGCAGATTGTGGCATTCCTGGGCACCTACGAGCTCTTCATTAACAAGCCAGCCGCTAGCCAAGTCTTTGGACTTGGGGGTTTGAAGAGTTCTAAACCCTAAACCCTAAACCCCTAAACCCTAAACCCTAAACCCTAAAAAACCCCAACCCCCGGAAGCCCCAATTCCCCCTTCCGAAATCCCAAGCCCGCTGGCCAAGTAAAAGAGACACGCCGTGACACACCCGAAATGCCAAGCCTGAAGCCCTAAACCCTACAAGCTAATGCCTGAGCACCGAAATCCCAACCCCCCGAGACAGTAAAACCCCGTGAGTTGAAGGGTTGAAGACCCTATGACCTTACACCTGAACCCTCAAACTTTAGGCCCCAAACCGCAAACTTTAGGCCCTAGGTTTGAAACTTTAGCACCTAAGCACTCGAACTTGACTGCTCGCACTTCAGGCCCTTAGCCCTCTAATGCTCTTCACGGCGGCTCCAGCACCCTATAGGATGTATGTATATATATATATATAATAACAAAAGTAATAATAATATTGATAGTAATAGCAATACTAGTATTAATAATCATGCTAATAATAACGTCTGTAGCCATGCCTGCCTTGTGCGAGAGTGTGATTCGAAACCATAACCCGTAACGCAACAAAAGGGACCGAGGCTAGCGGGTTTCCAGCTTTTGGGCCACTACTATAAACCAACGAAGCCCTAAACCTTAAAACCTAAACACCAAAGACAGGCCACATTTCTAACTCCCTTTCCACAATGTGGATTTCCACCTTCGCCAGGAGCAGCAGACGGAAAAGGGGCTCAAAAACAACAAAAAGTCAGCCCCAAATCTCAGGTGGGCTAAACCCTGAAACCCTAAACCCCTAAACCCTAAACCCCTAAACCCCTAAACCCTAAAAATCCCTAAACCCCTAGACCCTGAAAGCCCCAAAGCTCAGGTGGGCGGGGAGCCGGGAAACTACGGCAAGGGCAACTTGGGCCTCGGCTTCCTGGGACCCGTGGCCGATCCCGAGGCTCGGGTTGCTATGCTTATTACTAGCAATTGTATTAAATTATACGACTATGATGATGATGATTATTATTTTTTACTATCAGTATTCTTATCAGTATTAGTAGTAGTATTGCTACTATATTTATTACTACTATCGTGCATTACTCTTGTTGTTTTATGTGTTATTGCACTATACCAAACTATAGCTCGCGACTGGCTTGCCAGGTTTCGGGGTCCGTGACCCACGCAAAGCACTACACCCTCTACCTGATTCCTGCAGCCCAACTTTTCACCCGAACCCTATTCAAAATCCCGGACCCTAAGCCACAAGCAAACCCTGAATCCAGTTCAGCTGTGAGGCGAGACCTTAAATCCTGGCTGACAAGTCTGTGAGGCACGCAAGCGCAAGCTTTCTGCCGAGCTGGCCAATGGCAGGCTTGCGATGATGGCTATCATCGGCATGCCACTTGCCCAAAAGGAGCTTGAGGGCGTTTGGGGATTGTGGATTCAAGAAGGCTTCACGGTCCGGGCTTTTGGGTGTTCACAGGTGTTGAGGGTTTGTGACCAAGCATGAACCCCCGACTCCGAAGCTCTCCAGCACCCGGTCATGCAGCTGTTTGAGCTGCTCTTCAGGTCGCCTTGGTGACTAGTGATGGGGATGTGAATGAAGATGGTCATGAGTCATGAAGATAAAGACAGAATCATCAGATCAATGGCCCGAAGGTGATAATTGTCATTGTCATGCCTGCATGTGCAATACATGCTTTGCAGCTGCCCAGGCTGTTCCAGGACGGTCTCACAGGGTCCGCGTGGGGTGACTGGGCGCTGTATACCGACTCGCCTCTCCGCGGCTCAGGCTGCACTTTCTCATGCGTCAGTGCAGTGGGCAAGTTTTCGGAGCTTCGGCGAATGCATCTCGCTGCCGAGGAAGTGGCTTGATGAGCCCTGGCTACAACACCCTCCCCGAGTGGGAGAAGCCGAACACGGGTGCCCTGCCTTACGTGGAGTTGATTGCAAAACAATCATAAAGCACCTTTCAGAGGTTGATCGACTCGATAAACTTGTTTGCCAGGCTTCGAAGGCCTCACCGGCGACCAGGCGCCCCTGGGCTTCTGGGACCCCCTCGGATTTTCGAAGGACCTGGACGTCGAAGTGTTCAAGAGGCGCCAATGGGGTTTTGCATTACGGACGGAAGCAGGTTACCTGCTTCGAGATGTTCAGACATCTTTGATGCAGGCGCCGAGAGACGGAGATCAAGCACGGACGTGTGTGTATGTTCGCAACCATCGGCGAAGACCTGAGGGTGCGTGGCGTGTGCATGGCATGATTGAGCGCGCAGTGTTGGCTTTGTGCCGAGGATACATCGTCCCAGAGTACTACAAGTTTGATGGGTTCCTGTCCCCATCCAACAACCTGAAGTTCTCCGATGTGCCCAACGGCTTGAAGGCAGGCTCGTCTTCAGAGGCAGCACTTGACATCATGGCTGCCTGCGTATGCCGAGGCTCTCAACGTCGTGCCGAAGGAGGGTTGGGCCCAGATCCTGGCATTCGCGGGCTTCTTGGAGCTCGTTGTCAACAAGAAGACCTCCGAGCCAGGCCGTCACTAAAGGGATGTCAGCAGCTCGCTCCACGAAGCTTTCTGTCGGCAGATTCCTGCAGGCAATTTTGGCAAAGGCAACCTGGGACTCGGTCTCATCGGATTCGGCAACTCCGTCCAGGACCCTGCCCTCAGGCCTCAGGGACATGACGTGATGACATGGCATCATCATGAATCTTCTGGACTCTCAGCGACCTTGTGTGCGCTTCTTTGTCATAGACTCTTTCTGCAGGGCGAAGAAGCTCAATGCGGAGCTTGCCAACGGCCGCCTTGCGATGATGGCCATCATCGGCATGTCGCTCGACACAGTTCAGGGGACCATCAGCCAGTCGGAGCACATCTTCGATGTTTCCAACTGCGGCTTCTGACTCGTACTTGTAAATTGTTAAGTTCAAGCCGCTGTTGGTTTCAAGAGTATGTCGGGGGCCTTGCAAATGGTACTTGTTCTTAGAGTCGCTTGTATATGACACTCTCCGCCGCTGAGGTTCTTCCAGGACGGTCTCACAGGGTCCGCGTGGGGTGACTGGGCGCTGTATACCGACTCGCCTCTCCGTGGCTCGGGCTGCACTTTCTCGTGCGTCAGTGCAGCGGGTAAGTTTTCGGAGCTTCGGCGAATGCATCTCGCTGCCGAGGAAGTGGCTTGATGAGCCCTGGCTACAACACTCTCCCCGAGTGGGAGAAGCCGAACACGGGCGCCCTGCCTTACGTGGAGTTGATTGCAAAGCAATCATAAAGCACCTTACCGTGGTTGATAGACTCGATAGACTTGCTTGCCAGGCTTCGAAGGCCTCACCGGCGACCAGGCGCCCCTGGGCTTCTGGGACCCCCTCGGATTTTCGAAGGACCTGGACGTCGAAGTGTTCAAGAGGCGCCAATGGGGTTTTGCATTACGGACGGAAGTAGGTTACCTGCTTCGAGATGTTCAGACATCTTTGATGCAGGCGCCGAGAGACGGAGATCAAGCACGGACGTGTGTGTATGTTCGCAACCATCGGCGAAGACCTGAGGGTGCGTGGCGTGTGCATGGCATGATTGAGCGCGCAGTGTTGGCTTTGTGCCGAGGATACATCGTCCCAGAGTACTACAAGTTTGATGGGTTCCTGTCCCCATCCAACAACCTGAAGTTCTCCGATGTGCCCAACGGCTTGAAGGCAGGCTCGTCTTCAGAGGCAGCACTTGACATCATGGCTGCCTGCGTATGCCGAGGCTCTCAACGTCGTGCCGAAGGAGGGTTGGGCCCAGATCCTGGCATTCGCGGGCTTCTTGGAGCTCGTTGTCAACAAGAAGACCTCCGAGCCAGGCCGTCACTAAAGGGATGTCAGCAGCTCGCTCCACGAAGCTTTCTGTCGGCAGATTCCTGCAGGCAATTTTGGCAAGGGCAACCTGGGACTCGGTCTCATCGGATTCGGCAACTCCGTCCAGGACCCTGCCCTCAGGCCTCAGGGACATGACGTGATGACATGGCATCATCATGAATCGTCTGGACTCTCAGCGACCTTGTGTGAGCTTCTTTGTCATAGACTCTTTCTGCAGGGCGAAGAAGCTCAATGCGGAGCTTGCCAACGGCCGCCTTGCGATGATGGCCATCATCGGCATGTCGCTCGACACAGTTCAGGGGACCATCAGCCAGTCGGAGCACATCTTCGATGTTTCCAACTGCGGCTTCTGACTCGTACTTGTAAATTGTTAAGTTCAAGCCGCTGTTGGTTTCAAGAGTATGTCGGGGGCCTTGCAAATGGTACTTGTTCTTAGAGTCGCTTGTATATGACACTCTCCGCCGCTGAGGTTCTTCCAGGACGGTCTCACAGGGTCCGCGTGGGGTGACTGGGCGCTGTATACCGACTCGCCTCTCCGTGGCTCGGGCTGCACTTTCTCATGCGTCAGTGCAGTGGGTAAGTTTTCGGAGCTTCGGCGAATGCATCTCGCTGCCGAGGAAGTGGCTTGATGAGCCCTGGCTACAACACTCTCCCCGAGTGGGAGAAGCCGAACACGGGCGCCCTGCCTTACGTGGAGTTGATTGCAAAACAATCATAAAGCACCTTACCGTGGTTGATAGACTCGATAGACTTGCTTGCCAGGCTTCGAAGGCCTCACCGGCGACCAGGCGCCCCTGGGCTTCTGGGACCCCCTCGGATTTTCGAAGGACCTGGACGTCGAAGTGTTCAAGAGGCGCCAATGGGGTTTTGCATTACGGACGGAAGCAGGTTACCTGCTTCGAGATGTTCAGACATCTTTGATGCAGGCGCCGAGAGACGGAGATCAAGCACGGACGTGTGTGTATGTTCGCAACCATCGGCGAAGACCTGAGGGTGCGTGGCGTGTGCATGGCATGATTGAGCGCGCAGTGTTGGCTTTGTGCCGAGGATACATCGTCCCAGAGTACTACAAGTTTGATGGGTTCCTGTCCCCATCCAACAACCTGAAGTTCTCCGATGTGCCCAACGGCTTGAAGGCAGGCTCGTCTTCAGAGGCAGCACTTGACATCATGGCTGCCTGCGTATGCCGAGGCTCTCAACGTCGTGCCGAAGGAGGGTTGGGCCCAGATCCTGGCATTCGCTGGCTTCTTGGAGCTCGTTGTCAACAAGAAGACCTCCGAGCCAGGCCGTCACTAAAGGGATGTCAGCAGCTCGCTCCACGAAGCTTTCTGTCGGCAGATTCCTGCAGGCAATTTTGGCAAGGGCAACCTGGGACTCGGTCTCATCGGATTCGGCAACTCCGTCCAGGACCCTGCCCTCAGGCCTCAGGGACATGACGTGATGACATGGCATCATCATGAATCTTCTGGACTCTCAGCGACCTTGTGTGAGCTTCTTTGTCATAGACTCTTTCTGCAGGGCGAAGAAGCTCAATGCGGAGCTTGCCAACGGCCGCCTTGCGATGATGGCCATCATCGGCATGTCGCTCGTCGCAGTTCAGGGGACCAGCTTGTGGCCGGTGAGCCCTTGTCGCAATAGTCCAGCACGGCATGGTTTGTGAGATGCAGGCGACAGTCTAGTGCATGCTTGCGAGAAGTGAAAGCCTGGGCATCAGACTCGATAAAAGTGCGAAGAGGGCTCTGCAGGGCCTGAATATGCTTTGCATCTTGTCTTTGGGTTCATGAGAACAAACTGTCTCAATAGATCGGCCGTTCCATGTACCAAGGTTCTTCCAGGACGGTCTTACAGGCACGCTTTGATGGGAAGTCGTAGCTGATGGGCTTGCGCGGAGATTTCACCCTGAAGCCCAGACCCTGGCTGGAACCCGAACCTAAATGCTAATTTGCTGGCACCGAGATTCAGACAGTGCAAAGAATCTCCGATGGGACTTTCAGTTCCATTTTGCAGATAAGCCTCCTGACAGCCTCCGCAATGCAGCTTTCTGCCGGGAGGCATGACTGCTGCGGCTCCTGCTTTCAACAAGAACTGCCACTGCTACTGCAATTGCACCCGCAGCCGAAACCGCAACCTCAACTGCTGCTGCTGCTGCTGCTGCTACTACTACTACTGCTGCTGCTGCTGCTGCTGCTGCTGCTGCTACTTTGGGTGACAAAAACTGCTACTACTGCTTCTACTGCTTCTACTGCTACTACGGCTACTACTGCTACTGCTACTACTGCTGCTACTGCGACTACTGCGACTACTGCTGCTACTACTGCTACTACTGCTACTACTGCTACTTGTGCTTCTACTACTACTACTACTACTGCTACTACTACTACTACTCCTACTCCTACTCCTACTCCTACGCCTACTCCTACTCCTACTCCTACTCCTACTCCTACTCCTCCTGCTACTACTACTACTACTACTGCTACTGCTACTGCTACTGCTACCGCTACCGCTACCGCTACCGCTACCGCTACCGCTACCGCTACTGCTACTGCTACTGCTACTGCTGGCGACGACAGCGAAGATCATGGCTGCCAGGATAGACCATCACCAATAGATAGTTTGAAAAATCTGGGGCCCCAAAACCTTATGTTGTATGTTGATTATCAAGGCCCGAGTAGTAGCCTGTAGCCCGTATCAGACGCCCTTCGCATCATGAAGGCCCCTCTAATCCCTAAACCCGAAATAGCGTCCCTGCGATGCGGGCTTCGTCCTTGCTAGCTAGGACGGAAAACACCCAAAACCCCAGGGCCCTAGAGGAACTGCTCCCCCATTCAGAAACTTCCCATATACCCTTAACCGTAAGCCTCCACGTATGAAAAAGAACCCCGGGCTTCTCCACTGAGAAGCCCTAAACCCTAAACCCCTTTTGTCGTGTTTTTTCTTCCTTTAAGTGGGGTACACGACGGAGCCGATTTAGCTCGCCTCAGTAGGCTTCCGTAGGCCGTACCCGCGTGCAAACGGAAAAGAGCCCTCAAAAAGAAAAAAGCCCTAAACCCTAAACCCTAAGCCTTGACCGTCTCTCCTAGTAAAGTTTCACTCAGCAGACTCCGAACCACATGCCTCGCCTGGATTGTCCGAGTGTGAGCACCGAAACCCTAAGCCTTGCTCGAAGGCTCAGCCTGGGGAGACTGGGCGCTGCTCCTCGACGCAGAGATATCGAACACAGTTTTCTGCGACTGCTGCTACTACCCACGACTACTCAGACTGCTGCTGCTGCTGCTGCTGCTGCTGCTGGGTGACAAACTACTGCTGCTGCGACTGCTGCTGGTGCTACTGCCACTTGCACTTCTATTAATCTTCTTGATGATCGTAGCTGGTGAAACAAATAGTAACGCGCCCCGAAGCTTACACTCCTTATGGCGGCCCGTAAGGTAGTGTGAGGAGTTCACGTTCATCATTCTTGTTCCGTTTTGGCTAATGTTTTTTTGCTCCTTCTTCCTCCAAGAGATTTCATGTTGGTTGTCTCTAGCTCGAGGTCCGGGCGTTGTGAGGTCGCACAGCATTGCGGCGAAAGAAACGCTCAAATCCTGAAAATGCTGAGTTCATTAGCGTTTAAAACCCCGACAGAAATATCCAACATTTACAAAACCCCCGAATGGTTGAAAAGGTATACCGACTCGCCCCTTCGAGCCTTCGAGGGGGAGCTTGGCGTACCTTGGGCGCAGTTGGGCTACGAGGTCAAAGACGTCTCGGTATAGTGCAGAACAATATATGTGTTTTCTTTTTACCTCTCTCTCTCGCTCTCTCTCTCTCTCTCTCTCTCTCTCTCTCTCTCCATCGGTTGCCTTCAGTACACTGCCTGGCGTCTGTCGATGTTGATGATGGTGGCCATAGGTTCTCTGCTTACGGGAGCTGTGCGAAAGGAGAGGACTCCCGAAGCCAGCTGAGCCCGGCACCCCATCTCGGATATATTACAGGACATTGTATTACCTCATATTACAGTATATTCGATAATATTACATCATATGACATTGCTTTAGATAATATATTACATGATACTGAAGTACATTATAGTACCAGCAAAAGCGGCCCCTCTCAGGTGCAAGCCCCTGTCGGATTTTGGGACCCATTGGGGCTTTCCGCCGATGGCGACATGGACACCTTCAAGCGAAGAAGCTGGGCCCTGCAATTGGAGACGGTTAAACGAAGCCTGTATCTAAGTCTCAAACCTTGCCCAGTAAATCGAATCTTCTTTCTTTATAGTAATATGTATATAAATATATATATATATATATGTAGTGAGAAGCGATCATCACTACTATGAAGATTGCGGTTACGATCATGGTTGCGGTTGCGATTACGATTACCTACCGTTGCTGCGAGCTACGGTTCGGAATGTCGGGTTCTAAACTACTGCATCAACAGAACCCTCAATTATTCCACCCTAAACCCTAAACCCTATCCCCCAAGGGCCCGAGCGCCAAGCCTCGAACCCCTTAGCATCCAACCCAAACCCACCAAACTCTGCGTCCCCGACGCCCGTAAAACCAACCCCCCCCAAAAGAACCCCGAATCACCACGCAGCCACGAACCTCTGAACTCTAAATTCCGTAAACCCCCCAAAGTCCCTTGGCGCGTGCTGTCGCAAGGAAGGGCTGTGGAGCTGAAACATGGCAGGATCTGCATGTTGGCCTGCGTTGGTGGGGCCCTTGGAGTGTCAAGGGTTGTAGGGTTTTGATTCAAGAGTTTAAGGTTTTTGGTTTGAAGGAGCTTAGGGCTTCGGGCTTAGTCAGGGCGTCTTGGGTTGAAGATCGGAGGTTCGCGTTTCTGGGTTTAAGGGGTCCGCAGGTTCCGCGATGCCTGACATCGTTAATGCGAGCTGAAGTTGAACTGAACCGGTTGCCATCAAGCTTGAAAAAGGGGGCTCCGCATTATATTTATAGTATGCCCCTATCTTACCCGGCTCATGAACCTAGACCCTGTGGGCGCGTTGAAGGCTCGAGACTGGACACCTGGCTCATGCATCTCATTGTGAGGTTACATGGGTGAGGTGCCACGCATTCGGTTTTTTTTCCTTGTGGGGTTCACAATTCAGCCAACGTTGCCGGACCCCCATAAACTTTGAGCCCGAAGCCCTGAACCTTATACAGCCCAAACCTAAGTTAAACGCACCAAATCCCAAAACCCAAAACGCACACCATAAGCCGGGATTGTCCGAGTTGCGAGCGCCGAAACCATAAACCACCGCAATAGGCCCCCTAAGCCCTAAAACCTAAACCCTAAACACAAAAAACACCTAAACCCCTAAGCCTCTGCGAGGTTACATCATCCCCGAGTATTTCAGGTGGCCCGGCTACCTCTCTCCGGAGACCTGGCTTGATTCGGGTTCCTTTCAAGGGTCCCTTCTAAGGGCTCCTCTAAAGGGATCCATACGGGTTCTAAAAGGGTATAGGTATACGTATCTACTCTTTCTTAGACGGCTAGTGTTGAGCGCGGCCTTCTCTCCGTCATAGCATTTATAGTACGGATGCAAAAAAAAAGGTTTTAGGATCCTTCTGGGAGGGAGGACATAGTGTTGTTGGGGCTTAGAAAGGTACCGTTATTCAGAGCCACCGTCCCTCTCTGGTTGAGGACAGGTTTTGGCCCTACGGGGATCTTTTGTTGTTTGACGTTTCGCATGAAATTTGTTGGGATTTATTGGGTTCTGTATGCTCCTGCAGTTGCACAGCGGCTTATCAGCTGGGCGTCGAATCAGAAGCTTCAGGTAAAACTTCTTTAAGTTCTGGTTTACGGCTTGCGGTTGAGTTCACGGCCTGCTGAAAAGCACGTGATCCAAGAGCTACTACCAAGTTTGCAGTTTGGGGGGTTCCTTATAAGTATACTTGGAGGGTCGGGGGACTTAGTAAGTAGGTAGTAAGTAGACTTATAAGTACCCTAAAAGGGACCCTAGTTGGGGTTATGGTACTTATAAGTCCCTAAATAACCAGTTACTAAGTCCCGCGACCCTCCACGTAGTATAAAGGGCCTCAACGCCCTATTCCAATTATTAATGCCTTTCATGATTGGTGCATTCTGCCGGGTTCCTCATATTAAGGATCCCATTTTTGAGACCACGTTAGGGATCCTTTTAATCTGAAAGCCGACCTCAAACTCGATGCCTAATCGTATACCCAGCTGCCCCACGCCCTGTGCCCTAACAAAACGCTATCTCTTAGAAGGGGGCCCCACCCTGTAATAGTGGTATAGTAGGAATACAATAGGGCCCTAATAGCCAAGGAGAAGGGCCTCAAGTTCGCCGACATGCCTCACGGGATTGCGGCCATCTCTAAGGCCTGGGGTGGAGGGGATGTCGGTTTGCTGTCACTTGGCCTTATTGCTATTTCTATCTGCTAGGTACGATTGTGAGAAATGTTGCTATAAAGAGACATACCTCTTTTATCAGCAACGACAACAAGGCAATCCAACAACAATCTCTGCCACCTCCCCCTCTTCTTGCAACAACAGCAACTACAATTGCAACAGCAACAACAACAATTACTACTGCTGCTGCTGCTGCTGCTTGTGGTGGTGGTGTTGCTGCTGCAACTACCACGAGGCCGACGACGACTCGGGTTTGAGGCTTGGGGCCTGGCTACAGGGCCGGTATTTTCTAGGTCCTCAGCCTTTCATCCAGAGTCAAACCGGGTTCCCTTGAAGGTACCTCTCGTAATGGGGCTTGCTGCAAAGATCCTGTGAGCGATCCTGATGCGGAGCAGCCACCTCAGGCCCCGATCCGCATAGACCTTTCTGAGGTGCCCCTGGAGGGTTGGCTGCAGATCGTCCTCTTCATCGGTCACTACGAGGGATACTTCTGGCGCCAGGAGAGGGTGATCTTTCGCTCTCACTCGCAGGATTTAAAGGTATCGTGTGTAGGGTTTTGGCTTCGGGCTTGCTGCAACACTTCGGCACCTTAAACCCGAAACGCTAACCCGAATCCCTGCCCCCTTGTCGTCGGTCGGAGGATTCTTTTGGGCTTCGGCATGGGGGCATAAGACTTCGGCAGTGATTGCCGAGAAGACAAACCACATTGAAAAAGGGCAGAAGCTTTCTAAGAGACATCGCCGAGGAAACCCTAAACCGTTCAGGGTTTAGGGTTAGTAATTTAGGGTTAGGGGTTTTCCAAAGAAGGAAGGTCCTGCAGGCTTGGGTCTTGGCCCAGGCCTGAGCATCCCGTCTGGTTTTCCGTCTTCCAGGTCATATGCTTGTGTCTTCTTTTCAGCGCTTTGTCACTTCAGTCTACCGCTGTACCACGTGTTTCTGTATGCCCTTGTCATATTATGCTCGTATTTTCAGGTAGCTGACGTTCAGTCAGCTCATTCCTTCGATGCTATATTCCGTTAGATTACTACAATATATCACTAGTGTTTTCTTGTGTTGTGATGCTGCTAAGCCGTCGGTCCTGGCGCTGAGCAATGGTAGCTACTAGTAGCACTAGTAGTAACTGTTCTTGCTACTCATTTTATAAGGGGATGCTATGACCGGTTTGGGAGCACATTTTGACCATAGCAGGGGCTTCAAGGGGGTTCGATTGCAGTGTGGGGTTGGTATGATGCACACTCGTGGCGGTATGTCTTCGTAGGGTACCTACAGCCAGCCCAGTATTCCAACAGAGGCATCCGAGGAAGCTCAAAACGATTTCCCCTCAAACTTGTCCGAGTAATCGATACTAAGAAGAAACCCAAATTCGACGACCTAAAGCACAGGAGAGACCCTAGGCCACAAGGCTTGTCCGAGTTGTGAGAGCGTAAACCACCCTCTGGCGCTAGCCCTTCCTAACACTCTCCCAGAACCTAAACCCTAAACTCTAGTTGTGAGTGCTGAAACCCTAGAGTTCCTAAAGTTCTAAACCTACTTCAATAGTGCGAGGACTCCAAGCGTGCCCCGGGTGACTACGAGGGCTACGGCTTCCTGGGCGTGGGCAAGAACTTCATCATCAATGTCGACCCCATCGAGTTCCAGGAGGGATCAAGGCTTTAGAGTCCTAGGATTCAGGGCTAAGTGCATTGCAGCCCCTGCTGAAAAGAGGGTATCAATGTCGACTTCAGGATTCCAGGGTCGGAACCCTGGACACGCTTTACTATAGTAGTCTTCTTAGGAATTATTCTATCATTTTTGTTCATATAACACCAAAGAGAATATTAAACATACTACTTTTCGTCATGGTTCTAAGCGGGGTATGGTTTAAACCTAACCCTAGGTCCCTTGCTTGCTTTGTGCGAGTTGTGAGAGAGTCGAGCCCTAGGTCCCCCAAATCTAAAACAACTCAAGCAACACCCCGAGCCCCCAAATCCCAAACCTGCAAGCTGTATAGGAAGACTCCGCAGTACAATGTTGCTTGGAGTGGCCAATGTGCTGGACGCATGTAAACCCGGATCCTCTCCTGCTTGTCTAGTTGTGAGTGCTGAAAGCCTAAAGCTTCAAATCCCAAACTCTGAGTTGCTGGGCATCTGAAGCCCCGAACCTTGAACCCCACACCTCACAGCTGTGTGTGGCAGACACCGCACACACACGCCGGGGCCCCAAACCCTAAACTGTACACGACATCCTGGAAACCCTGTAAGACACGAAACCTCTCCAGGATGCCGATGTGAAGAAAACCAAGCTTGCTGCCGAGCTCGCCAACGGACGACTGGCCATGGTTGCTCAGCCATCCAGTGGTTACCATGAGGATTGCTTTCAGGCTTGCTACTCGGGGTACTAGGTACGATGAGGGGTGCTGTAAGTGTACAAACAGGGTACTCTCGGGGGTTAGGGCTTTCAGGTTTTTTTCAGGGTTTAGGGTGTCTTTCACATGTTTACTTTCGGATTTCGGTGGCCTCAGACCTCAGATTTTGAAGGTTTGGTTCCCGGTCATTGCGGTTCTCTACATCAACATTCCTTGGGGTTGACTAAATTCGAGCATTTGAGGGGTTAGGGGGAATCCAGAAGAGACCTCGGTCACAGAACTGCGTATAGGGCGTTTCCTTATTAAGGAAATGGCAGTCATGAGCTGTAGCCAGTAGTGCTGCAGCTTGGCGCGATGCTGTTGTTGCCTGTCACCTTCCCCGGCCGACTTCCCAAGCCCGGATGCCACAAAAAGGAATCGGCAGTTTTGGGCTTTGGAGCTTAGCACCAACCTGTTTTTAAAACTTGGGATTTCAAGATGTGAAAGGCATCGAAGTCTTCGGGCCCAGTGGGTGACTACAACATACCATCCAACTTGGGAATTAAGATAGGGATACTTTTCTTTGTCGGTGATACTCTGACAGCGTTTTTGTTCGTAGCTTGTTCCTCTGTGTTACCTGCAAGCTGGACGAGTAAGGTCGCTCTAATGGCGATGCTCTTCCAAAACGGTGCCCCGGCAGCGAGAGTGGAGAAGCCAAGTTGCAAGGTTTCAAGGCCAGGTGCGCCTCGTAATATCAAGGCACTGAGCCGTAAATTAACCTGAAGCCATGAACCAGCCATACATCTCGGCAGGGAGGACAACGTGAGAGTTCAAGGTATCGGAAACCTTACTTATCCTGCATAGTGCCGCAGTCCAGATTCAGAAAGGGAACCTCAAACCGCAAACCTTTTGAGTGCTGCACCAGAGGAACCGTGGGCACCACCGGCCCGGCTATGTGGCTTCCTGCCGCCTGAGACGTTGAGCGCGAGAGAGCTCCGCGTGTAAATGTAAATCTGGCGCCGCAGGATTTGTCAAAGCAAACCGGGCGACCTGCCGATCTTTTAGCTATTGCAGTGGACTTTTAGAAGCTACAATATTTGCTGCAAGCTGCCACAGCTGCCGTGGCTGCCATATCCAAGATGGTCACCGCGTTGCCATTTGTGTACTTAAGCTGTTGTGCAATACTGCCTTTACCTATGGTGTTATTTTATGATCGCACCATAGTGCACCGTGTGCGTGTAGACCGTCACGAGCATACCTGGCCGTGTCGAGAGTTTCCTGCCGTCCATTTGAAGGAAAACCGCTCTGTGTCTGCTTTTAGGTTGTGATGATGCCGTACTTACTGCTCTACGATTCTCATGGTTGTCCTTACCCCTGAAGAACCTACCCTTTTAGGGTTCCGTATTATGATTTCCTTATACAAGTCCTTAAAAAGGTAGGTTCTTCAGGGTTAAGGGTAGGATTATGGAAACGCCTGTGAAAGTGTCGCTGGCGATTGCTGCCCTTGTTGTTCGAGGCACCCTCGCAATCTTGAGTCTCGCTTCAGTCAGAAAATGTGGGAGTTTCCGAAAATTTGGGGTACCGTATTTTCGGCTCCTTATAATAAGGATCCTACTATTTAGGGTGCTATATTAGGGTCCCGTATTTTCGGAAACTCCCATGTCGCAACCTGCTCCGATGTGATTTCAACTTGAGCTCCCAACGCGGCCGAATTTCGAAGCCCGACGCCCGGATCCTTGGCATCCATCGGCCCTTGCAACCCGATCAGGAGCTTTAACCCCAGTGAGAATCCGAAACCCTAAACTGCCCCATCTAGAATAGAAGCCTCAATAATCACCAACATTTTCTCTAGGGGTCCGTATTATGACGGATATTCAAAGGAGCTCAGAACCCTATTCTATGTATGAAGGCCCGTTTATCCCCCTGCCGGCACGAGGCCAACAAGATCGTGCCTGCTGGTTCAGGCCGGGAGGGAGGATGGTGGTGATGAGCACAACAACACGACTAGGTGGAAGTTTGGGAAGCTTTTAAAGTTCCCTTTGTGGTTCCTATAGAGGTACTCCTCATAAGTACTTTTCAGAGCCCCAAAACTACAACAGGGGCAGCAGAATCAAGTCGTGATAGCTGGTGTAGTGCGGGAAGCGGAAATATGCTCAGTCGAAAAGTTTTGTGGGGTAGGGTTGAGAGCCTCGTTGTTGAGGATTGTCTGATGATCTCGGATAGTATCTGATAGTTTCCGATTTGCTCTTAGGGTTAGCACCGCGAGAGAGAGAGAGAGAGAGAGAGAGAGAGAGAGAGAGAGAGACGGAAAGAGAGAACATATGAGAGGGAGCGGGAGAAAGACAGAAAGCCACACAGACAGAGCGAGCGCCAGCTCTCCGCTGCGGAGAGCGGCGGAGAGGGATTACCATAGGGGCCTAAATAATTACCGATTCTGCTTTGGGGGTCTCTTACTATAATCATAGTATAGTGGGCCCCAAAACCCTGTTCGAACTATTTAGGCCCCTCTATTGCCTTGCCGCGACTTTGCAGGAACGACTTTGTTGCCACGGCTGCCATCTGCAATCCAGGGCATCCCGACGCCCCCCGCCAATGTTGGGTCGTCTTAGCTTAGGCCTTCTATTATAGGGTTCCTTTAAGATCTGTATATAAGGGTTCATACAAGGAGCTTATATGGGTTCTATATGTTGGGTTTGGGCTTTGTTGGCCGTGAGGCAGAAGCTTGGACCTTAAGATAGGGGCCGTAATCTTTGGAATAGGGTTCCTTACTTTAGTTGCACTTCTTTCTCCCGCCGCATTCTAAGGATTCAAGTGCTATATCAACTGAAATAGCATCTCCTGTCATAATTCCTTTTGTAATAGATGCCCCAAATTCTGTTGTAATTATTAAGGCCCTGCATTTCAAGCTCGAGCTGCTGAACGCAGGGTTTTTGATGCAAATGATTGCCTTGTGCCGGTGACTCGCAGATCTCCTCGATGTAGAGGCTGGAAGTATACAGGAAAACGGGTTTGGGCACATAAGCTAAAGCTTCCTTTATCGCAACCTACGGCTGGCTTCCTGCACTTCCCACACGCACATGCCCTAAACCCTAAACCCTAACCAGCTGACCTCATGAAGCCGTGCCTGCGAGAGCGAGAGTGCGAGTCGAAACCCCGCAACCCTAGATCCCCAAACCGTGCCTGCGTGGAGCGAGTGTGCGAGTCGGAACCCCAAACCCTATGAGATCCTTGCGAAGTAGGAGGGAAGAAGACCCTGAACCCCAAAGCCAGGGACTCCAATATCCCTCCAGGAAGATCATCCTTACCCTTATGGATCCCTTTAAAGGAACCCTTTAAGGAACCCTAACGTATATTCCTCAATTCGATATTGGAGCCTCTGGGGAGCCAGGCACATCTCCCAGAAGCACATGCATGTCGCCCGCTACCCGTCAGGGGTGCGAGGCTCCCTCTGGGTTGAGGTCTGGGTTGCGACTGGGGCACCTGTGAAGCATACTTAAAGGATCATGGGACTTAGTAACTAGGGTTTTAATTAGGGTAGCTATACTTATAACTACTTATAACCCCAATCAAGGTACTTATAACCTTACTTACTAAGTCCCATGATCCTCCAAGTATGGGCGGTTCTTTAGATCCGGGTGCCGTACTGTTTCTAGGGCCTAAAACGGGGAATCTACCATAGGAAACTGCGCATGTGTCGGCAACAGACCTTGCCAGCCACAGTCTGAGAGAGGGCATCTACCAAACCCTGAGTAGCTACGTGAGACACAAAAAAACACCCAACTAAAAAAACCCGCAACCTGGGCAGGTGCCATGCTAAATTCTGACGAGTTGCTGACATCGGAAAAACTGTATGGTCCGCAGCCTGCCCGCGCCCGAAGAAGCGGGTTGAGGGTTCAGGTTTAAGGGTTCAGGCTCAGGTTTCGGGTCTTAGGTTTCAGGGTTCAGGTTTCGGGTAACAGGGTTTAGGGTGCAGTTTCGAATGCTTGGAGAGAGGGGTTCAGGTCGCAGAGTTGAGGGTTTCAGGGTTGAGGGTTTAGGGGGTCTCTGCCGTCACACGCATCGGCCTCAGTACGGGTTCGAAAAAGGGTTTAGGGTTCAGGCTTCAGGGTTGAGGGTTCAGGGTCAATCTAACGGTATCTCATGAAGACCTTGAGAGCCCAGCTTGCCGGCATACAACCAAAGCACGTGCTGAAAAAAGGGTCAATCTAACTGGAGGCACTTCAGAGAGACCTCGTTCGAAAGGGTTTAGATTCACATGTCGGTGTGGGGCGAGAGAGGGTTGAGGGGTTCAGGGTTAGCGATGGGTTTTTCAGCCAGTTTTGCTCGGCTGTGGTGTGGGCTTTTGATTGTTTTGGTGTGGGTTTCGGGTTTCGGCATAGTTTAGATAGAGGAGGTGAAGGTTTGAGGGAGTTCAAGGTGAAGGTTTCATAGAGTCGCGAGTTCTGCATCAGCAAAGTCCAAACGAATTTGGTTTGGCTCCGCCACGCAACTCGGTGATCCCGACTCCCTGCATGTTGAACCGCAGTCCGTGCCTCTGCCTTCATGCGGCTATTCGGAATGAGGATCTCGAGCCACAAGACGATAAAGGAGGGTGAGTTTTATTTTTCGGCATCCGCATGCCTTGTTGCGTTTCCTCTTCCCGGGGTGCCTGCCGTGCTCCTACCACATCATCTGGCGTAGTTTGGACTTCTGGGGGTGGTCTTCTGGGTTCTTGTTGAGAAATTTTTATTTCCAGTTACCATAATAGGGATCTATGGTAAATAGTACAGTTTCCTTATTATGGTAACTTAGTTTAAGTCCCTTAACAAGAACCAGGTTAAAATTGTTCCTGGAAAGGTTCTTATGTAGAGCTAGGACTGGCAGGTGCTCTTTCCTGGTTGGGATTTGCAATGCCATTTCGCTTCTCTTTGTGGGCCCAAGGTGGCTGTATGACCTAATATAGGGCCTTAACAATTACCGAATTAATTTTGGGGGTTCCTTATTATACTTACAGTATAGTGGGCCCCAAAACCTTATTCTAGTTATTGAAGGCCCCTACAGTAATCTCACCCTGATCAAGGTCCAGATGAACTTAGACCTCGAGCTGCCGGACAACTCCGTGATCCTGACGGAAGTCCCGGCTGCCTCGATCCACAAAGAGGACGCGGAGTCCCTAGACCTCCAGGAGCCAGAAGCAAGGATACTTGGAGGGTCGGGGGACTTAGTAAGTAGGTAGTAAGTAGACTTATAAGTACCCTAAAAAGGACCCTAATTGGGGTTATGGTACTTATAAGTCCCTGAAATAACCAGTTACTAAGTCCCCCGACCCTCCAAGTAGTGCTTGAGAATCTTAGGGGAGCCTGGAGGGCTTCGTCGGGTGCGTTCTGAGAGGTTCTGCACAATCAACTTCAGCACTTTCCTCTCGCATCTTCGTGAAGTAGTAGTTGCAAACATCGTTCCGTGTAACTGTCGCATTTGCAACACCTCCCAAGTTCAATGCCGAAGCAGCAGTTAAGGAACCACACATGTGGGCTGCGAGAGCGAAAACGCTAAAGTCACACCACACCTCCGTTAGGTTTGGTTTTAGACTAGATTTCAGATGGTGTAACGAATAGGGCCTTTACTGAAGAGTTCGTATTAGCGATAGTTTTCCCTTGTAGTCCCCATGGTCCTATAGAATCCCTGTATCACAATCCCTGTACAATGATACTGTGGGGTATAAAAGCCTTGCTCTACTCGTTAAGGCCCTGCATGACATTCCACCCTCCCTCAACCCTCATTGCTCAGGTGTGGTTCCGAAGCGGCTGGACGGTGAAGGACCCGAAGGTACACATAGTGCCGGCCTGAGGTCGTCTGCAGGAGAAGTCGTTCCTTTCTTTACCCCAACCCCCAAGCCCAACACCCTAAACTGGAGCGCCGAAACTGGCATCGCTTGAGAGAACTCTCGCCGTGAGACTCTGCCGAATCGGCGAAGCTATCCTCGCCACAAGACGGT